GAGTGGGGAGGTTTTTATGACTGTTTCAGCTTTTAGTTAATTACTTAATTAAATTAATTTTTGTTTTTCTTTTAGACAAGGTCTCACTATGTGGCTTAGACTTGAACTATTATCCTCCAGTAATAGAATTACAGATAAATGCCACCACATCCCGCCCCATTAGAAACAGCAGCTGCCAACATGGGTAGAGAGGGAGGGGACAGGGGGGATTGAGCCAAGGAAGGAGGGGAAGGAGGAAGGAGGAGGAGAAGGGGAGGAGAGAGAAGAGAGAAGGAAGGAGCGGAAGGAGGAAGGAAGAGGAGGGGAAGAGAGAGAAGAGAGGAGGGAGGAGAGAGAGGGAGGGAAGGAGAGAAGAGGAGAGGTTACTTTTGAAGGTCTAAGCCAAGGTGTTTTATAGAGAAGGAAAGCGGGTAGTCTCCGAAGGACTGAGTGATGGCTTGGTATAGGTAAGATATGGAACCAACCCAGATGCCCCTCAGTAGATGAATGGATCAAGAAAATGTGGTATATATACACAATGGACTTCTATGCCTCCATCAGAAAGAATGACATTGCCCCATTTGTTAGGAAATGGAAAGACTTGGAAAAAATTATATTAAGCGAAGTAATCCAGGCCCAAAGAAACATAGGTCCCATGGTTTCCCTTATTTGCAATAACTAGTATATGTCTGAGTCAAGCAGAAAAGGTCAGATAAGGTGATGTTAGGTGAAATGAACCCCAAGACAAGTATTCAAATGTTTTTTTCGTTCTTGTGATTGTCTCTAACATATTTATAAGATGATTTCTTTGTTGCTTCGTATGTCCCTCCCCTACAGTATAACCCCTGCTTTCATTGTATCTGATGTTGTGGAGGGGAAGGGAAAAAGCAAATTGTTTAAGTAGGGATACAGGTGGACCTATTGCAACAATGAGATGTGCAAGTCATTATGTTGAAAAACGAACTTTACAACTTTGGGGAGGGGAGGGGTTGATGGGAAGGGATGGGAAGGGAAAACAAAGGAGGAGGCAACAATGCTTGATAAGAAATGTACTCACTACCTTGCCCATGTAATTGTAACCCCTCTGTATGGTATTTTCACAATAAAAAAATAGAAAAAAAGAATAAATCAGACGTTGACTAGAGGCAGGCTTTTAAACACAAAGATAGTAGAACCATGAGAAAAATCAAGTTGGAAGAGTGAGATACTTATAAAGAAAAAAGATGCCTATAAACAGAATTGAGGCAAGCATTTTTGAAAAATAATAAAGATTGATAAAAGTTCTTGGGGCTGGGAAGGTGGCTCAGTGGTAGAGCGCTTGCCTTGCATGCATGAGGCCCTGGGTTTGATTCCCCAGCACCACATAAGCAAAAAGAAAAAAGCTGGAAGTGGTGCTGTGGCTCAAGTGGTAGAGCGCTAGCCTTGAGCTGAAGAGCTGAGGGA